TCCTCTTCATTCCTCGCGTGGCACCCTATGCGTTTCGGGCTCGCAAAGCGTGGCAGGCGTGGCACTTCCTCGACACCAGAGGGGGTGCGCAAGGGGGGTCTCTCACCGCGGCCGCTATCCGTGACGGTCGCCCATGGCACAGCACGCATGGCAGATTCTCGACACCATGGGGGTGCGCAGGGGGTGGTCTCTCACCATTGCCGCTATCCGTGACGGTCGTCCAGGGCACAGCAAGCATGGCAGATTCTCGACACCATATGGGGTGCGCAGGGGGTGGTCTCTCACCGCGGCCGCTATCCGTGACGGTCGTCCAGGGCACAGCAAGCATGGCATATTCTCGACACCAGAGGGGGTGCGCAGGGGGGGGTCTCTCACCGCGGCCGCTATCCGTGACGGTCGTACAGGGCACAGCAGGCATGGCATATTCTCGACACCAGAGGGGGTGCGCAGGGGGGGGTCTCTCATCGCGGCTGCTATCCGTGACGGTCGTATAGGGAACAGCAGGCATTGCATATTCTCGACACCGCAGGGGGTGCGCAGGGGGTGGTCTCTCATCGCGGCTGCTATCCGTGCCGGTTGTCCAGGGCACAGCAGGCATGGCATATGGTCCAAGCCCCTGACTGCTCGAGCTGTGGCAAATCGTTTTGCATCACCTCATTGGTTGTTGCGATCCCAGGAAACGGACCTCGGTGACCACCTCAAACTTGTTCCCGATGACGGATAGAAAGCGGGGAAGAGGGAGGAGGTTCACTCAGTAGTGTATTGGATGACAATATAGGGCAACATTCGCGACGAGGGTTTCGAACGCAGGATTGCGCATATCTGATAATGAAGAGCAAACACATAAGATTTAAATTAAGTATGTGGGGTTCCTCGGTAGCGTAATTCACTATTCTGGAATGTTCCCCCTGTACAGGGACATGCGCGACTTAACCCTAGCGGGCAGAGAACCTGATGAAATTAGCATTTCCGCGATCGGGAGGGCCTGTCCCAATGGAGCTGGAGAAAAAAGAAAATGCCACCGCAGAAATATATACTTCCCAACGGCCCCGAGACAGGCGCGCCCGATAGCGAAAATGTCGACTATGTACCGTTCGTCGCACTCTAAAGATTGGACCGCATCGGCACGAAGTCCGAGGTTCCCCGGCGCTTCCCGCATGACCTTTTCGGAGCCACGAGCGCCCCAACACGAGCCAAGAGGACCCCGAGAGGCCCCTACTCCTCCCATTGCTCCTCCATTTCCTCCTCATCCTCCTCCTCCTTTTCCTTCTCCTTCTCCTTCTCCTCCTCCTCCTGCTCTTCTTCCTCCTCCTCTTCTTCCTCCTCCTTTTCCTCCTCCTCCTCCTCCTCTTCCTCCTCCTCCTTCTCCTCCTCCTCCTCCTCGTCCTCTTCCTCCTCACCCTCTTCCTCCTGCGGCACCCGAGGGTCGCGGCCGCCAGCCCGCCCGCTCATTTGCACGCTCGCGCTTGCAGGCTCGTCGCCCTCGCCATCGCACCGCTGGAGCCCGCTGCAGGGGGGAGCGCAACGACGGTCGCGGCGACCGCCCACGAGGGAGGCACGGGAGGGCGCCGCGTGACCGATTGGGCCCACGCGCCATCGTGTTAGCAGCGGTTGTCGTGCCTTGCCCACGTTTTTCTTTTTCGCACCGCGTTTCGTGCGAAGCCGTAGACCAGCCCACTACGCGTGGGGCCCAACATCCTTTCATGCCTGAACCAAATATCTGCGTGATTGTTCCAGCACAAAAATGACTTCTAGAATAAGACGCCTGGGTGAATCAGTCCATGGCAAGTATCCCCCCATTCGCCCACCATTCGGGGCTTACCTTTTCTGGGTGCACCGACGTGGGCAGGCAAACGCTGTCGCGTCTGCGCGCACCTTTGAGTCCATGGGCACCAGAGTGTGCGAGACGGTCAAGCGCCGGTCAAAGCGAGCGGTGGGCTGCACCAGAAGCGAAAAAGGGCGCGAAAGAGCAAAGAGTGAGAGAAGAGAGCGAGGGAGCCCGATCAGATCGTGTCGGCCAGCGCCGGGTGCCACGGAGGGGCTTGCAGCTGCGGAGCCACCAGCCTGGGGTGGTAGACCTTGAAGAGGCCTAAGAACGCCAGTATGTCAGGGGCAGAGAGGCACGGAGACCAGAAAGTTTGTGGCAAAAAGATGGGCAAGCAGATGCGGGAAACAAATAACGAAGGCCAGGTGAGTTGCGAGTGCAGCCTGCCAGCGAGGATGACCTTCTCCTTCTCCTCCTCCTCCTCCTCCTCCTCCTCCTCCTCCTCCTCCTCCTCCTGTTCGTCGTTCTCGTTCTCGACCTCATCCCTGCAGATCCATCCCCATCCTCACCTTCTTCCACCCTCCCCCCGAAGCACAGAATGACGCAGACGGGTCGTAAAGGAAGCATGAGCAGCATAAACGTAGACGCTCGAAGATACGCACAGACCTCCTACAGTCTATGTCTGTATACTGAGCGTTCCCGATCGTAAGGCGGGGGCCGCGGTCAACCCAGCTGCCGGAGATGTTCAGTTCCTGGAAGTATATGTCACCGCACCTGAGCTCGCCGCAGCCCAGGCAGGCCAGACTCTCGTCTCCATCCCCTCCATCCCTCTTCATTACGATCCGTTCCTCACGCCCTCGCTCTCACACTCTCTCTCTAACTCTCTTTCTCTTTGTGTGTCTCTCTCTCTCCCTCTCTGACTTGTCTCTCTCTCTCTCTCTTTCTCTCTCTCTCTCTCTCGCTCTCCCTCTCTCTCTCTCTCCCTCTCTCTCGCCATGTATACGTATATACACACTTCCATCACTCCCTCCACCCCCCCATCGCTCGCCTTTCTCATCCCTCCTTCCCCCTCCCGCCGCCTTCCGCCCTCCTCCCTTGTACACACATCCTCCTGCTCCCCCTTCTTCTCCCCTCCCTACTCCTAATTCCAGCAGCCCTTTAAGGCGCAGGTGGTCTAGGGAGCTCGTTTGTTCCAACCCACTTCTTCCCCTGCGAGGATCCGCCAGTCTAAACCATGCCAGCACCCGAAACCATCCCAATCAAAAACCAAATGATACCGGAGAACAACAAAAAAACAAGCATCATCTGTTTAGGGTTATAGGGCTATGGGGCTATTAGGGCTATAGGGCTATAGGGCTATAAGGCTATGAGGCTATAGGGTCATAGGGCTATAGGGCTAATGGGCTATAGGGCTACAGGGTTATTAGGGCTATAGGGCTAATGGGCTATAGGGTTATAGGGCTATAGGGTCACAGGTTTATAAGGCTACAGGGCTATAGGGCCACAGGGTCAATGGGCTACAGGGCCACAGGGCTATTAGGGCTACAGGGCTATTAGGGTTATCGGCCAATAGGGCTATAGGGCCATAAGGCTATAAGGCTATAGCGCTATAGGTCTATAAGGCTGTAGGGCTATAAGGCTACAGGGCTATTTGGGCTATAGGGCTACAGGGCTGTAGGGCTATAGGGCTATAGGGTTGTAGGGCTGTAAGGCTATAAGGCTCTAGGGCTACCAGGCACCCAGGCACATCCAAGCACCTCTGGGCACCCCCGGCACCCGGGCACCTGGGCACCTGGGCACCCGGGCACCCAAGCACCTGGGCACCCGGGCCGGCCACCGAAATCGGCGGCACACCTCTAGGACCCTACAGAGGCAAGCTCCGATTGGGGAGACACAGCACACGTTGCGCCAAATCTTGGACCAAACGTGGGCCCACCATGATGCCGTCTGTTCGACGAGCACGGCGGGGGCCGACTCTGGCGAAACACACCGTACACGCTGATGCCGCCATTGGGCTTTGGTTTTTTTTGCAGGGGTGGTGGAGGGGGGAGAGGGAGGAGGAGGAGGAGGAGGAGGAGGAGGAGGAGGAGGAGGAGGAGGAGGAGGAGGAGGAGGAGGAGTAGGAGGAGGAGGAGGAGGAGGAGGAGGAGGAGGAGGAGGAGGGGGAGGAGGGTCGACGTGTTCTCTGACGTGTGGCCCCCCTACCTGAGGCGCCGCGCGTACCTGGTGCGCGCAGCGAGCTTGGCACGTCTGGCGCACCACGCCAGCGTCGCGCACCTGCCGCCGATCGTCCGGTGGCGACCGCTGAGCGTGCTGAGCCTCGGGTGCCACTTGCGTGAAGGGGGGGGGGGCGGGAGTGGGCGAGGCAGCTGCCGCTGGGTCTGAACGGAGGGCTTCGGGAGCCTGCTCGCCCTCCCCCCCCCCGGTCAGGGAAGGGAAAAAGGGGGGGATCGACTTACAGTGGAAGCCCGTGCCAAGACACACCCTGCTTGCCTCCAGGGCGCCCTGGGTTTCTCGGGTTTCGATGGTTTTGCGATGTAAAGCGTGACGCTCCGACAGCATAAATCAATGGACGTCCTGGGGTCTCAAGGTTATCATTGAAGGCTGCTCGTGGTCGGGCTCCTGCTGTAACAAGAGCGTGTCTTTTATTTGTCTCTCATCGCTCTCTTGCCCACGACGTTTCTCTGTCTCTTTGCTTTACGTGCTCATTTGTTTAGCATGTGCTTCTTCGTTTCGACGGCGTCTCTTTCCTACGACGCTTCTACGCCTTGCTTCTCAACTTCCCTGGGGTGCGCCACCGCCGAGAGGCGAGAGGGCCACCGAGGCCTCCGGCGCGGCGACGCCCGCGCTCCAGAAGCGCGGTCTGCAGAAGGGAGAGGGGGGACAACGGGAGGGGAGGGAGCAGGCCAGAAGGGAGAGAGGGCGCGGTCTGCAGAAGGGAGGGAGCAGGGCAGGAGGGGAAGAGGAGGGGCAGAGGAGGAGGAGGAGGAGGAGGAGGAGGAGGAGGAGAAGGAGCAGCAGGAGGAGGAGGAGGAGGAGGAGGAGGAGGAGGAGAAGGAGGAGGAGGAGGAGGAGGAGGATGGGGAGGATGAGGAGGAGCAGCAGGAGGAGGAGGAGGAGGAGGAGGAGGAGGAGGAGGAGGCGGAGGAGGAGGCTTGTCCAGGGAGGCATACACACCTCTCCTGGGCCGAGGATGGGCCTGGCCAGGAGCCGTGGATGTGTATAGATTATAGATCTCGTCGCCCTAAAACCGGAGGGGCGAAGAGAAAGAAGAGGGCGGAAGGGAGCGAAGAGAGGAGAGGAAGGGGAGCGACAGGAGGAGGGGGGGGGGCAGCCAGAAGGGGAGGGGGGGCGGGCAGAAGGGAGGAGGGCGGTGGAAGAGGGCAGGGAGGCAGGGGAGGAGGGAAAGGGGAGGGAGGGAGGGCAAAAGGACGGGGGGGAGATGGGAGCGAGAGAAGTGCAAAGAAGCAGGCAGGAGGCGGGAGGCATCGGGCCGCGGAGGCCGAGACCGTCTTCAGGAAGGGACGGGGGAGGACGGAGGACGGAGTAGGGGTGAGGGGGGGGAGAGGACGAGAACGCAGATCTAATGGTCTCCATAGCCAGCCAAAACTAACTAGGAAGCCACGAGGTTAAAAAGCGGCTGCCCTGGCCGCGGGGCGTATCTCCGCTCGGGGGAATGTCCGTTCGCGGGTGGCACCCGGCCATGAGCTCTTTCAAGGTCGGGGTACGGAGACGGCTAGTCTTCCAGTTGCCTGGGCTCTTGCAGGCTGCCACTAACGCAGGAGATTGCCTGGTGGAGAGAGGGAGGAAGGACGGAGACGGAGGAGGGAGGACGGATGAGGGGAGGGAGGACGGATGAGGGGAGGGAGGACGGAGGAGGGAGGAGGGGCGGAGTCTTGGGTCGGCGCTGGATCCCCTCTGGCGGCGGCTTTGGCGCCGCCGCTGGCGCGTTTCGCGCGGCAGGGAGTGGGCTCCGGCGCCGACCCGAGAACTCCGCGGGGAAGGAGGAAGTAAGCAGGGAGAAGGGTAATTAGGAGGGGGAGGGAGGATGATTAGAACCAGAAATAACTAGATATTCATGGTTGACAGCGTGGACCCAAAAAAGCAATTGTCTGCCAGTCTACGAAATGCATTCTAGGTGGTACAGTCAGTGTAGTGGTATCTAAGTGGCGCAGTCTTTGTGGTGCAATCAACGTGGTGCAAAACCATGCAGCACAGTGCAGGGCAACACAAAGCAATGAAAGGCAGTGTATAATGCGATGCAAATCGGCGCAAAGCAGTGCAGAGCAGCGCAGAGCAGTGCGAGGCGAAGCAGTGCAACGCCATGCAAGGCAGCGCACTGCACAGCAACGCAAAGCAATGCCCACGAAACAGTGCAGAGCAGCGCAGCGCGACGCCATGCCATAAGATGCAAGTCTGCGCGGCGATGGGCCGCGACGAGCAGGCCGGCGGCGACGGGCGGCGCCGGGCGAGGGCGGCCACAAGCCGACCGGACCGACACCGGGCCCAGTGACCTGAGGTCGGAAATGTCATCCTACAGACGGGTGTTGGACGAAGAATGGAAAATGTTCAAAAGACGATCAGACAAGAATTATCCCAAAAAAAATGAAAAATCGTCCCTATGCTATTGATTTTTACTATTTCTGAAGATTCCTCCTGTAGAGGGGCATGCCCGGCTTAGCAGGAACCAGAAAGAGCAGTGAGGACCCCTAGATGCAAGATCTGCTTTGGGAAAAAAACTTGAAGGGGCCCTGGGACACACAAATAAATACACACAAATAACAAGATTCCCCATATCTTCCTATATTTTTGGGGTTTTCGTCTTCCCCCCCACTTCCCATATTTTCCCATATTTTCCTGGAAATCGACGAATAATTGTGTCTGTGTGTTGTTTTCCCTCCTGAAAGCTGGAGAGGTCCGCGCGTGCAGCCGGAGCGCTGTCCTGAGCAGCCCCAAACAAGGAGCGAGGCCCCTTAGCGCCATAAGGTAAACTAAAGGGGCCCAGGGACACACAAATAAGTACACACAAATCCCAGGATTCCCCATATGTTCCCATATTTTCTAGGTTTGTGTCTTCCCCCCCACTTCCCATATTTTCCTGGGAGTCGACGATGACTTGTGTCTGTGCGTTTCTTTCCCTCCTGACAAACTCCGATTCCCCACGGAAAACCTCACGGGAGCCTGCGACAAACCGCAAGACAATGAAGAGAAACACTGAGCCCCTCCCCAACGAGAACGGCTCCTTCGTCAGCGGCCCAAAAAAAACACTGCGCCCCTCCCCAACGAGAAGGGCTCCTTCGTCAGCGGCCCGACTGTACTCCTGGGTCGGCACTGGATCTCCCCTGGCAGCGCCTCCGGCGCCGCCCGTGGTGCGCTTCGAGCGCCAGGGAGTGGGCCCCAGCGCAGGCCAAAGAAATCCGCGGGGACGTCCGAAAGATAATGTTTATACCGAAGTCGTTCGTCGAAGGTGGGAGGAGGGAGGTCGACAGGGGAGATAGGAAAGTCTCGAAAAGAGTCATCCCAGCTTGGCAGAACGCACTTGCGAGAAGGGGAAACGTGAGACATCAGCGAGAATGGAAAAAGCTCTGGCTGGATGGAACAGCGTGTTCGGACAGGAAGGGCTGGAGAACTGACGAGTGGTACTAGTCAGGTCCATGACGGCCTGCGGTGGTTTGTGTTTATGTTTGTTCTGTGGTATTAATACCAGTTTCGTTTTATAAAAGTAAGAATATTCAACATAATAATAAGAACAATAATAATAATAGCCGTAGTAATAAAAAATAACAATAATGAGAATAAGAATAAGAATAAGAATAAGAATAAGAATAATACGAATAACAATAATAACAAGAATAACCATAATAATACACATTAAAACTTATAACTACCTAAAGAAACAAACCAATACGTAAAGAAAAAGATAAAACAAAATATAACTATATAGATATAACACCAAAAACAACTCTGATGGTTTCCCCATCGGCCCTGCGAGGCCGAGGCGAGGAGCCCTGCAGATCCGCGAGAGAGCGGAGCGGGCCCCGCCCGATCAAAGGGAGGCTCCGGCGTGTCCCGGGAGGCTCCGGGAGGGCCGCCCCCCCAAAGCCACCAGGAGACCCCACTCGCCATCCCGAAGCGCGTCGCTGTCGGGAAGTCCTCGTCGTCCACGCCTTCTATGTCTGCGTCCGTCGGCGGCGGGGAGCAGGGCGTCTGGGGGCCGCGAATGCGGGCGTCGTGATCCGAGGTCGCCGAACCGCTATCACCGGCCAGGTCGATTTGAAGGAATTCGTCGCCTTGTTGCCGGGCCAGATTGAGGGCTGGCAAGGGGGACCCCCCGTGAATTGTTCAGCTTCGTGCGTGCGTTTTTCTCGCAGGGGGAACAGAAATACTCCTCGAGGGTCCTCGCAGGAAAAAATCACACGTCCGAGCGATGCAAAGCCCATCCAAGGTGGAGGCCCCGGCGAGGCCGCCTTGGAGCCAGCGGCCCTCCGAGGATGAGACGGCGGTCGAGCAGCGAAACCCCTCGCGTGGGCCCCCGGGAGGCCCCCGGGAGGCCCCCGGGAGGCCCCGGCGAGGCCACAGGGAGGCCCCAGGCCAGGCCACAGGGAGGCCCCAGGCCAGGCCACAGGGAGGCCCCAGGCGAGGCCCCGGGGAGGCCCCAGCGAGACGCCCCGTGGAGGCCGCTGGCGGGCAGCCTGTCAGGACGCCTGCGGAGGCGCTGCCTCTTCGCCGCCGCCTCCACCGCCGCCGCCGCCGCCGTCGTCGTCGTCGTCGTAGTCGTCGTCGCCGACGCCGGAGCCGTCGGCGCCATCGCAAGCGCACGGGGCCTCAGAGCACACCCCTCGCGGCAGCCCTGAGCCGAGCACGCCCCGCCCATCTGCCTGGCGTCCGCAGTGACGCGGACCATCACGCTCTCCGTCGGGCGCACCACCCTGGGGACCTGCTCGCGGGCCCGCGCTGCGCGCGCATCGGCGGGTCGCACTGCGCCCGGGCGCACTGGAGGGAATCTGTGACACGTGCATGATGGCATCCGGGGTCCAGAGCAGCGAGGGTCGTCCGAGGGATCTGCCAATGGGTTATCGAGGCCTTGCCAAAGCAGACGATGGAAGGGCTGGTTCGGTCGCGCATGATGCACGTGCACGCATCCAGGAGCGCCTGCATCAAGGACCCGCCCACTGTACAAGCTATTGCTCTCCCTTCCAGCCACTGCTGTCGGGGGCGGCGTCGCGGAGTGCGGTCCTAAAAGAGATCTGAAGCGCAGGCCAGGGCGCTTACTCATTTTCTACTCCCAGACCAATCGTTGATGGCCCAGGGGCCCGAAAGAGGCCCCCCGAGGCTGAAGTTCCAGGAGCTCCCCACCATCCTCGTCCTCCTTCCTCTGGGCTTCATGACAAAAAGGAGGGTGGTCTCATTTAGGGGTGTGTTCTGACTTGCGATGTCTTGGGAGATTCCGTCTGGGCAGAAGCCGCCCTGTCGTGGCCTGTCTGGGGGGATCTACAATGTTTCGTCTGGGAGGGCTGTGACCCCCTCCCTGTTGCCTCAAATGTGGAGTGAGACCTCCCCCCTCCCCCTCCCCCTCCTCCTCCCCCTCCCCCTCCTCCTCCTCCTCCTCCTCCTCCTCCTCCTCCTCCTCCTCATCATCAAGGATGTTAACGATTGATTGCCCTCCAAATCCTCTTCCTCTTCTCTCTGAATGAAACATGTCGCAGAAGGCAGGACTATGCCTTTCGATGTGGGAATATCGCTCGAGGTTTCGTCAATTCTCAAGAGCCGACAGGTCAACGCACGCACAGCACTATACGAATGCAGGCTGGCTCTCCTTCAAAATGGAACTCTCTCTCTTGGGACTCCCTCGAGGCGCATGTCCACCATGGGCAGCCTTGTGCAACCGCGGCACCGGCGGGGGCGGTCGTTGCTCGAAAGGGGCATCTCGCTGGACACCGCGTTGAACTACAGAATCTACATGATCATAGTTGTCCTAATCTACGTAATCGACGTTAAACTACATAATCCACATAATCTACGTTAATCTACATAATCTACGTTATCGCGTTAATCTACATAATCTACATAATCTACGTTAAACTACATAATCTACCGCGTTCCTGATCAGTTACGCGCCAAGAGGATGCAGGGCAATCCCTCTCCGAAACGTGGCCTCGACAACACGGCAGGTCCAACTGCGTTTTTATCTTTCGGGGGGGGCTTCGTGCAGCGAATGGAAGAGCCTGCAGGGGCGTATGAGCAGGGGGCTTGAGACGGGAGGGTGTCTTGCAGCATCGCTGATGCATCTTGGGTGTAGTCCGAGCCTCCTCCTCCTCCTCCTCCTCCTCCCCCTCCTCCTCCCCCTCCTCCTCCTCCTCCTCCTCCTCCTCCCTCTCCTCCTCCTCCTCCTCCTCCTCCTCCTCCTCCTCCTCCCTCCTCCTCCTCCTCCTCATCATCATCATCATCATCATCATCATCATCATCATCATCATCATCATCATCATCATCATCATCATCATCATCATCATCATCATCATTATCAGCATCATCATCATCCTCTTTCAGCATCGGGAAACGAGGCTTTCAAGTTTGGGATTTCTGGAGGTCTCCAGATGCCTCCGGGGGGCTCTGGAAGCATCCAAAGAACTCTGGAGCACTTTGCAACGCCTGGAAGATAACTCCAGCATCCAGAGAACTCTGGAGAACACTGCAACTCAAGAGAACTCTGCAACGACCCGATGAATACAGCAAAATGCTTCAAACCTCACCAGCCCCCTGGGTGTAGATGGTTTAAGACAATCGTAACCCCCTATTCCCCTGTGAAACAGCGTTTACCTCTGTTCCGTATCAATGAACACCCGCCTCCACACACACACACACACACACACACACACACACACACACACACACACGACTGGCGGCAAACTTGGCCCCTTCCAAGACCCCCACGCCATCCCTGCCAGCAAAAAAAATACGTTGCGGCAAAAAAGTTGAGCATGCGCAAGCGCCCCGCGATGAATTTGCATATCCGTAGCACCCCGCAGATGAGGTTAAGAGTGAAGGGCTGGTGGGGGCGTCGGCCGTTTGCGAGACTCCGGAGAAGCCCGCCGCAGGGGCCAATATTTCAAAGAGCCCGCCGCAGGCGCCGCTTTTTTCTTTAAACCAATGTGGGTAAGCCGCGGGTGGGTCGCAAGTGGGTCGCAAAGGGGTCGCGGGTGGGTCGTTGGTGGGTCGCGGGTGGGTCGCGGGCGGGTCACGGGTGGGTCGCGGGGTGGGTCGCAGGTGGGTCGCGGGGTGGGTCGCGGGTGGGTCGCAAGTGGGTCGCGGGGTGGGTCGCGGGTGGGTCGCGGGTTGGGTCGCGGGGTGGGTCGCGGGTCGGCTCGCGGGGTGGGTCGCGGGCGGCTCGCGGGCGGGGTGGGTCGTGGGGTGGGTCGCGGGGTGGCTCGCGGGGTGGCTCGCGGGGTGGGTCGCGGGATAGGTCGCGGGTGGGTGGCGGGTAGGACGACGAAAACAAACAACAACAACATCGTCATCATCAGCATCATCATCAACAACAACGCAACAACGCAACAAGCAGACTCCTCAGAACGGACACCCACGTCGGCCACGCACCAAGGGACAATGAATGACCGTTCGGCCCCCTCACTCTGATATACATATATCTAGAAATATGTGTATATGACGTTTGCGGGCACACCACCCCTCTCAAAAGCCAATGCAAACTGATTCGAGGTCCAGGTACACCATGATGGCCACCCCGCCGCCGTGTTGCATCAGTTTTTGACAGGGATGGTGGGCGTTTGCTGCCACATGCGTTGGCGCACCTGGCGCGGGTGAGCTCGTGGCACATATCGCGCATGAGGAGCACGTGACGCATGCGCACCAGGCGCGTCTGGCACGCTCGGGACCAGGAGTTGCTTTGCACACCTGGTGCACGTGGCACGCGTGGCGCACCTCGCCAGCGTCGCGCACCTGGCGTATGGATGGGTTTCCAGTGGCTGTCCATCCAATGGCGACCGCTGAGACCCTGGTGCTCCCTATGCGTTGGGAGGGCGGGTGGGAGTGAGCGAAACGGCTTGCGGCTTGTGGGTAGTTTGACCTCTCCCCCATACCCACGCCCCTCGGGTCGTGACCAGGGCTTCGCGACACGCTGGGGCATCCAAGATGACTCCAGGACGGCCCCAGACAGCCCAAGATGGCGTCTAAGATGGCACACGATGGCTCGAGGTCGGGCACGTCCTCCTACAGGCGGATCTTGGAAGAAAAATGAAAAATACTCAAACAATATACGAAAGTAATCAACAAAAATAGCCCAAACATCGTCCCGACTGTGTTTTTTACTATTTTTGAGTCTGCCTCCTGTAGAGGGACAGGCCCGATGTAACCATAGCTCAGGATGGCTCTGGATGGCCCAAGACAGCCACAGCAAGGCTCCAAGCGTGCACGGAGCCCCCCGACGATACCCCCAAGAGTCCAACGTCCTCCAAAAACCGCACCCATCGGTCGGAAAAAGTAGGCAGTAGAAACATGAAGTATGAAGGCGTTGAAAGTAGATTGGGTGTCCGCCCGCCCCCTGAGGACAGAAAAAGTGAAGCCACTCGATCATTGAAGTAGGAAGGCGCTTAAAGTAGACTGGAATATGGAAATCCAAAAATACCTACGTTCAACGACCGATGGATAAAGGGTTCACTAATGTGTGATGTCCCGCCTTTTCGTTCCCGGCGAGCTTCAGAGTCCTCAAGGTGGCTCCAAGGTCCCAAGACGGCGCCCAGAACGCCCAACAGCGCCACAAGGACGCCCCAACCGGGGCCCAGGAGACAATGTGTCGAGATCCTACGGGGCGGTGCCAACGAAGGACCCTTCCGCTCTCACTACCAAAACCATTGAACAAAAAGCTGCTGGACTAAGATGGCTCCAACATGGCCCCAGATAGCTCTAAATGGCTTCCAAGATGGCACACTGCTGTCAAAGATAGTGCCCAGCGTGCCATGGAAGGGCACCAAAACCGCCACAGGCCGGCCTCAAAAGGCCTCGGAGACTCCCCACGACACGCTCCAAAATTCTTCAAAAACGGCAGGCTGTTGTATGACTCGAGCCTTCTGACCGTTTCGCTCGCCGCAAACCCGAAGAGCCTATCGGCTCAACAAAAATCCGGAAATCCCAAAAAAAAACTGCAGAGAGCCCCGGACGGCACGGGGGGCGGCCCAGGATGCCCACGGGGGCCTCCCAGACGGCTTCGGATGTCCGGCATGCCTCCAGGATGGCTGGTCCACGATGGTACCTAGCAGCGACAGTCCATCCTGCACGCCCTCAAGACGGCTCAAGATGGCCTCCCAAGGGAGCTCTTGCCAGGCCCGACGAGATCGTCGGAACGCCTCCAGGATGGCCCAAGACGTCCTCAAAGTGGGGCCCCTGTCATGCCAAAGTGCTGAGGCCGCCCTGAGACCCGCGAGAGAGGAGGAGGAGGAGGAGGAGGAGGAGGAGGAAGAAGAGGAGGAGGAGGAGGAGGAGGAGGAGGAGGAGGAGGAGGAGGAGGAGGAGGAGGAGGAGGAGGAACTCCAGGACGGCCCCCGAGACCCGCCCGAACCGGACGTCTGCAGGGTGGGCAAATCGAGCCCCCGTCGGGGAAGCTCTCGCCCAAGGCGGCCCCGAGACCGCAGACGGGCCCCCAGCGGGTCCGTCGGCGGACCCCGTCGAGGCCCCCTAGCGGGCCCGCAAAGGCCCCGAGAACCCCTCGTCCTCCTCCTCCTCCTCCTCCTCCTCCTCCTCCTCCTCCTCCCTCCTCCTCCTCCTCCTCGTCCTACCCCCCCTTTACCAATCCCCCCCCCTGAAGAAGCTCCCGAGGGGACTGGAGGAAGAGGGGCTTACCGCGGCTGCAGACGCGCAGGGGATGTTCCAGCCCTGGGCCAGGTCAGGCAGGGCACCGAAGAGCAGCGGGTCGCCAGCTCCTTCCTGCGGCTCTGCCGCGCGGGCACGGCGGCCGGGCTCGCTGCAGCCAGCTGGATCATCCAAAAGCCATACGCGCCTCACGGACCAGCCGGCCGTCGGGCCTGTCCCCCTACAGGGGGATTTTCGACAAAAAAACTATGGGGAATATGTTTGGAATATGTTTTGACCTTTGGGGAATATGTTTGGGGTATTTTTCCCTCCCTAGGCTCTGCCTAGAGGGTTCTTACTCGCTTTCTTAAAAGGACCGGGCAGTGCACACCGCCCCGGGCGGTTCCCCCAGTATCCGCCCCGCGGTTCCCCCGGTTACATCCCCTTCGCTTAGCGTTGCCTATCTCATCTGAGCTTAGCCTAGCTTAACTTAGCTTAGCTTAGCTTAACCTAGCTTAGCCTAGCTTAGCCTAGCTTGGCTTAGTTCAGCTTAGCTTAGCTTAGCTTAGCTTAGCGTAGCTTAGCCTAGCCGAGCTTAGCTTAGCTTAGCTTAGCTTAGCTTAGCTTAGCCTAGCTTAGTTCAGCTTAGCTTAGCGCAGCGCAGCATTAGCATAGCATAGCATAGCCTCGCGTAGCATAGCTTCGCATAGCATCGCATAGCGCAGCATATCATAGCGCAGCATAACATATCACAGCATAGCATAGCACAGTATAGCATAGCATATCATAGCGCAGCATAACATGGCATAGCACCGCATAGCATAGCATGGCATAGCGCAGCATATCATACCACAGCGCAGCATAACATCGCATAACATAGCATAGCATATCACAGCATAGCATAGCATAGCACAGCATAGCATAGTATAGCCTAGCGCAGCATAGCATAGCATATCATAACATCGCATAGCGCAACATAGCATATCATAGCAAAGCAGAGCATAGCATAGCGCAGCATAGCATAGCAGAGCATAGCATAGCATAGCATGGCGCAGCATAGCATAGCACAGCACAGCGCAGCATAGCATAGCATAGCATGGCCTAGCATAACATCGCGCAGCCTCGCATACCCTAGCATACCCCAGCATAGCATAGCAGCAAAGCAAAGCACAAGCAACGCAAAGCCACGCAAAGCAAAGCAAAGCAAAGCAAAGCACAAGCAAAGCAAAGCAAAGCTAAGCACAAGCAACGCCGATGATGCACCGATCTGGGAGTTGCTGCTCCTGTACAACTTCGTAGTAACATTCGGTGTAGCAAGTGTTGCACAACCTTGCTCAATGCCAAGTCGTGCGGTGTAGACCGGATACGGAGCATTCTCAAGCACACCCGGTGAGCGAATGCGAAAACATGCGTGTGTGTGTGTCTGTGCGCAGGCAAAGCAAAAACAAAATCAAGCAAAAGCAAAAACAAAAGCAAAGCAAAAGCAACAGCAGAAGCAAAAGCAAGAGCAAAGGCAAGGCAATGCAATGCAAAAGCAAAACCAATGCGAAATTGTAGATGTAGATGTAGATGTAGGTGTAAGTGTAGCGGTGGATGTAGGTGTATATGTAGATGTAGATGTAGGTGTAGGTGTAGATGTAGTTGTAGATGTAGATGTAGATGTGAGTCTCGCTGTTGATGTTGATGTAGATGTAGATGCAGGTGTAGATGTTAATGTAGCTGTCGGTGTAGATGTAGATTTTGCTGTCCTAGATGCTCCAACTCCTAGGTAGGGTCGCACTGGGATAATTTATTTTTCGTCGAAAATTCCCCAGTAGGGGGACACGCCCGACATAATTCTATATATAGAAGACGGGGCGCGCGCTTCTCGGCGGGGGAAAAAATGATCGAGACGAGAATGAGCGCGAGGATCAGGAGGGCGAGGCTCGCGAGGGGGAGGAGCAGGAGAGTGAAGGCCGCGCGGGTGAGGATCCTGCGAGCGTGGAGCCAGAGGGTGAGGATGTGGAGGAGGGCCACGAGAGCGAGGATAGCGAGAATGAAAATCTGGAGGGTGAAGATCGGGCGGGCGTGGCGCCCCCCGCTGCCATGCTGGCAATCTCCACCTCATCCTACTCTTCCTTCTCCTCGTCCTCCTCGTCCTCCTCCTCCTCCTCGTCCTCCTCCTCCTCCTCCTCCTCCTTTCCCTTTTCCTCTTCCTCTTCATCCTCTGCCGCCTCCAACCCCCCTTGTCCTCCTTCACCTCGTCGTCCTCCTCCCTCTCCTCCTTTCCCTCCTCGTCCCCCCTTCTCCCCCTCCCCCAAGGATTTCCCGGATCTCGCCTGAAACAAAACAGGGGGGCCTCTGTCTGAGGGTCTCCTTGGGGAGGCTGGCGGTTTTTCTGTCCCGGATCTGGCCAGAAACGGATCCACAGGGGGGCTCTTGCTTGGGGATGCTCCAAGGTCGGTTTCTCTGAGGGTGATCCACGCGAGGGCGCCAGTTTGGAATTCGTCGCCGGACTCGCCGGATTTGCTGCGGTTTTTTGTGAGGATGTCCCACGCGAGGGCGACGGAATTCGTCGCCGGATTCGCCGTATTCGCCGTATTCGCCAGATCTCGCCGGAAACGGAACAGGGGAGGCCTCTGAGGGCCTCCTCGGGGAGGCTCCGGGTGCCGTCTCTCTCGAGAACGTCCCACGCGAGGGCGCCAATTTGAATTCGTCTCCCGACTCGCCACATTCGCAAAATTCATTGGATTTCCCGGATCTCGCCGGAAACGGAACAGGGGGGCCTCTGAGGGGTTTAGAATTCGTCACCGGATTCTCCAGATCTCGCCGGAAACGGAACAGAGGAGGCCTCTGAGGGCCTCCTTGGGGAAGCTCTGGAGGCGGTTTTTCTGAGGATGTCCCACGTGAGGGCGCCGGTTTGGAATTCATCGCCAGATTTGTCGGATCTCGCCGGAAACGAAACAGGGGGGCCTCTGCGGGCCTCCTTGGGGAAGCTCCAGGGACGGTTTTTCTGAGGATGTTCCACACGAGGGCGCCAGTTTGGAATTCATCGCCGGATTTGTCGGATCCCGCCAGAAACGGAACAGGGGGGCCTCTGCGGTTTTTCTCAGGATGTCCCACGCGAGGGCGCCGGTTTGGAATTCGTCGCTGGGTTTGCCGGATCTCGCCAGAAACGAAAGAGAGGAGGCCTCTGAGGGCCTCCGTGGGGAGGCTCTGGGGGCGGTTTTTCTGAGGATGTCCCACGCGAGGGCGCCGGTTTGGAATTCCTCGCCGGATTCGCCAGATCGGAAACGAAACAGGGGGGTCCATCGGCGGGGCCATTGCCTCGCGCGGCGGGGGTCAGGATGACGTGAGTTGCGCAGAACAAATTACATCCGTCTCGACTTTCCGGCTCACGATGGGCCTCAGGGCCCCTCAGATGGCCTCAGGATGGCCCCAAGGACAGCTCAAGATCGCCAGATATCGACTGGGTATGCTGTGAAAGACGCTTCTCAACTGTACTGGAAGCGCGCGGTGGGAATGAGCCACGAGCGGTACAGGTCCTTCAACCCATACAGCGGCAACTTCTACTACGACGCTGGGCTGGTGAGGTGTTTTGACTGCCCCAGCATCGGGAAGCGCGGAGGGTACGTAATCCGAAGAAGCAATTCAGAAACCCCTCTGGATGATAGTCAAGACCGAAACGGAAATAAGTAATCCGCGGAGGCGGATTCAGCGGAGCGATACCATTAGCACCGCAACAGATAAATCATGATTGCCCGCTCCCGTATTGCCTCGCAGGACTGCAATCCATGATGTGCTAACCTTCCTGACGTCGAACAAACGGGGTCCTTACTGGACCACGTGACAGGATGGCTCCAGGGGCCAGTGGGTGCCAGAGGAGTGCTTAGCAACGGTCAAATGCCAGGGTGCCAGGCTAACGCTTCCGGGTGCTGGATGCATTATCGGGTCACCAGAACGGGGAGGCGGGTTTCTTGATCGCTCCCCGTATTGCACCAACCTCTTCCTGCTCCTTCTGTCGCTGTTGCTGTCGACATCGGTGTCACAAGTAGCACTTCCAACCCTAATTTCCTCCTCCTCAGTATCCTCCTCCTCCTCCTGCCCAATCCTCCTCCTCCTCCTTCTACTTATCCTCCTCCTCCTCCTCCTCCTCCAACTCCTCCTCCTCCTCCTCCTCCTCCTCATCATCATCATCATCATCATCATCATCATCATCATCATCATCATCATCATCATCATCATCATCATCATCATCATCATCATCATCATAACCATCACCATCACCATCATCAGGATCAGAATCCGAAGAGTCATCATCATCATCATCATCATCATCATCATCATCAGCATCATCATCATCATAATCAGCATCATCAGCATCAGCATCATCGTCATCATCACCTCCTCATCATCATAGGCATCATCAGCATCGTCACCTCCTCCTTCTCATCATCATCATCATCCTCATCATCCTCGTCATCAGCAGTATCAGCATCAGCATCAGCATCAGCATCAGCATCATCATGATCATCATCAGCAGCATCATCATCATCATAGGCATCCATCTGTATCGTCGTCGTCGTCATGAGCCTCGTCGTCATCGTCATCGTCATCGTCCTCATCATCGGCAGCATCAACATCAGCATCATAATCACCAGATCATCATCATCATCAGCAGCAGCAGCATCATCTTCATCATCGTCATCATCATCATAATCATCATCGTCGTCATCGTCATCGTCATCGTCATCGTCATCATATCCATATCTTCGCCATAGTCACCGCTGTCATTATAAGCCCCTGCCCAAGCCTGAATGAGCGTGTGAATGCCTCCCCGATAGATGTCGAATCGCTGGCCGTGAATGTTGACCAGGTGCGGGTCCCCAGTGGCAGACACCTTGGGGCATAGCGGTCTGCGCATGCGCTGTGCCATCCTCTTGATGAGACGGGTCCTCCTCATCCCCCCCATACGGGGCGCACGCCAACATGTACCAGGAGTCCGGATCTGGCACGGGGGGTGCCAAATGCAAGGATCGGAGACAGCAAACCCGAAACATCACGCCAAGGCCGCCTGATTTGGCGACCATGCTCGCCACTCCTGTTCGAGAACGGGACCCGTCGCTGATCGCCTTGATCCATCTTTGCGTCTCCTCGATCATCGTCCCCTCCCCCTGGCTCCATCTCATGATTCCCCGTAGTCGAAGCCAATCTGGCGCCAATCTGGCAGGCCCAATCTGGCAAACGGGGGCAATCTGGCGAGGGAGCCAACGCGAACCCAGTCTGGCGAATAAGCCAAATCCTCCAATTTGGCCAAGCCAGATTGGCCCTTGGGGCCCAATCCAACCTGCCAATCTGGCCTTCGACTAGCCCTTGTCCGCCTCCGAACCTCCTCGCTCTTCTCGTCCCCCGTTCCACTTCCCTCTGGCAAGCTCCCCGCCGTCGCACCGCCGGGCACTTCGGTTGGACGGGCCGTGCGCTCTCGCCCGAAACAGCCTGCCAGGCTACCATCGTGAAGAACAAACTTCCCAACAGCTACACTGAAGGGGCCCAGGAACACACAAATGAAAAGACACAACTCCCTGGGTGTCTTATAGCTTCCCATGTTTTGCGTGTCGTCGTCTTCCCCCCCACCTCCCATATTGTCCCACATTTTCGTGGGAATCGGCGATTCATTGTGTCTGTGTGTTTCTCCCCTCCTGCTACACGGATGCAGGGCGGGAGGCTGTCAAAACTGGGGGCGCATCCTTCGATGCCGGCCGTTTCCGAGCCACCAGCGGAGCTCGACGCTGAGCGCCAGAGCTGGAGGGTCGCTGACGCGTCGACACGGCACGGACCTAGCACACGCCCCCTGACCATGACTCGTCGGCGCGCGGGTGCTCCTTCGAGGCTCACACCAAAATCGGGCGCCCTCTCGCGCTGGGTCGTGACGTTGGCGACTTCAGGGGCACCTCGAGCTTCCTGCAAGCCCCGAGCGGGCCCAAAGACAGCAGGCACCAAGGAAGCGCCCACACGATCCAAGGTGGTCCTGCGTCGTTTTGCGGCCACGGCGGGCCTGCCCTGGAACACAGGAACAGAACGGAACGAGGACGAGAAGAGCGGACGGAGACGCCGAGGCGTCTTGAACAAAATCGGTACCGAAAATGGGTTCCGCATTGCACGCGCTTTCGACGACCTGCCAGACCACCCCAGCCCAACCCGGAGACCCAAATTCCGCCCGAGTTTCGGGCTGGGGAGGGGTACGGGCTTCATGTGTTTTTGTCAACGTCCCCCCCCCCCGTGGAAATGGAAGGCACATCGGGGCCTTCGGTTTGGGTTGGGGTGGCCTGGTGGGCGGTGAGTTTTCCTCGACCTCGGTGGCAACGCATCTTGGGGCATGAAGCAAAACCCGAAGAACTTTAAAACATTCAAGAATTCGCCTGACGAAGGACCCAACCATATGCAGGTGTGAGTACCGCAATTGTGATTCACTTTTTCGGCGGTGATCCTTATGCGGCAACGAACCGTGCTAGGGGTGTGCCGAAATGAGCGGCGTGGTACACAACGCGAACGAAAACGATTGATCTGAGTACGTAGGGAGGCTGAACGCGGGTGAACATGAGCGCGAGTGCGTCTGAGTGTGACTGAATCTGCGTGCGGGCGAATTTCGCGCATGAACGCGAGTATGACAAAGCACGGTGTAATTGCATATGAATGTCAATAGTTTGAGAACGACTGCCTGCGAGTACTCGCGACGCTGGGCGCGACCGCCGCAAGGAGCTCCCCCGGGACTCCCCGACGGCATCGCCTGCGCGCCGCGACGCAATTGTCGGCGCGCCCCCCCGCGAGGATCGCGCCCGCTTCCCCCCCTTCTTTCACTCCCTCTTTGCCCGCACACTCAAAAGTCCAAGGCCGCGGGCGCAGCGCAGCGCGGAGCCCCCGCGACGCGCGCAGGTCGCCCCGGAGGGGTCCCAGCGACGCGTGCGGGTCGTCCGCTGCGCGGAGCAAAGAGAGCTAGCTGGCTGACTGATAGCGGGCAAGGCTCTCGCCGCTGGGCAGAGCGACGACGGGCGAGCGAGGCACCAAGCAGAACGCAGCACGGGGCCCCCGCGACGCGCGCTGGTCGCCCCGGAGGTGTCCCAGCGACGCGCGCGGGGCGTCCGCTGCGCGGAGAAAAGAGAGCTAGCTGGCTGGCTGATAGCGGGCAAGGCTCGCGCCGCCGGGCAGAGCAACGACGGGCGAGCGAGGCGCTGGGCAGAACGAAGCACGGAGTTCCTGCGACGCGCGCCAGTCGCCCAGAGAGGGCCCCAGCGACGAGCGCGGGTCGTCCGCGGCGCGAGGCCAAACAATTTGTCAGACCGTCGAGAGACGGCGAGGCTCGGGCGGGCCGCTCCTCAGATCAAGCCTCGCGGATAAACTCGGTGAAGCCCAGCTCGATGGCGAGGGCCGTCGCCTCCCTCCTGCACCGCTGCGCGCGCGCGCAGCAAACTGCTCCAGCTGCTTCCGCAAGCCCTCTGGCGGCCCTGCCAGGAAGAACTCGACGCGCGGCGCCCGCATGAGCAGGAGGTCCTCGTGGCGCATGGCGCGCGAGAGCAGCACGTAGAGCTCCAGCCACCAGTCGTCGTCCTCCTTCTTGCCGTTCCCCACTTCTTGGATCACGCCTGGGCGATGCCGGCCGAGGGAGCAATGCGCTGAAAAGGCGACGGCCCAGGGCGAGAGCCCACGGGACCAAGAGAGGGTCTGGCTGCGGACTGATCGCGCCCAGCAGGTCTGGCCGAAAACTGGGTGAGGGAGACGCATGCGGACTGCGCCACGGGGACCTTCAGTGGGGCTCCATATGGGGTCACGAAACGCTGTACTGGGTGAGGGAGACGCATGCGGACTGCGCCATGGGGACCTTCGGTGGAGCTCCTATGGGGCCACGAAACGTGTGAGGGGTGTGCCGGAATGAGCGGCCGGGACGCATGCGGACTGTGCCACTGGGACCTTCGGCGGAGCTCCTATGGGGCCACGAAGCGTGTGAGGGGTGGGCCGATATGAATGACAGGGACGCATGCGGACTGTGCCACGGGGACCTTCGGCGGAGCTCCTATGGGGCCACGAAACGTGTGAGGGGTGTGCCGACATGAACGGCGGGGACGCATGCGGACTGTGCCACTGGAACCTTCGGCGGAGCCCTTATGGGGCCACGAAACGTGTGAGGGGTGGGCCGACATGAATGGCGGGGACGCATGCGGACTGTGCCACTGGGACATTCGGCGGAGCTCCCATGGGGCCACGAAACGTGTGAGGGGTGTGCCGATATGAACGGCGGGGACGCATGCGGACTGTGCCACTGGGACCTTCGGCGGAGCTCCCATGGGGCCACGAAACGTGCGACGGGTGGGCCGACATGAATGGCGTGGACGCATGCGGACTGTGCCACTGGGACCTTCGGCGGAGCTCCATATGGGGCCACGAAACGGGTGAGGGGTGGGCCGATATGAATGGCGGGAACGCATGCGGACTGTGTCCCGTCGGCAGAGCTCATATGGGGCCACGAAACGTGTGAGGGGTGGGCCGAAATCAATGGCGGGGACGCGTGCCACTGGGACCTTCGGCGGAGCTCCCATGAGGCCACGAAACGTGTGAGGGGTGTGCCGAAATGAGTGGCGGGGACGCATGCGGACTGTGCCATTGGGACCTTCGGCGGAGCTCCTATGGGGCCACGAATCGTGCGAGGGGTGTGCCGACATGAATGGCGGGGACGCATGCGGACTGTGCCACTGGGACCTTCGGCGGAGCCCCTATGGGGTCACGAAACACTGTACTGGGTGGGGGAGACGCATGCGGACTGCGCCACGGGGACCTTGGGTGGGGCTCCATATGGGGCCACGGAACGCTGTACTGGGTGAGGGAGACGCATGCGGACTGCGCCACGGGGACCTTCGGCGGAGCCCCTATGGGGCCACAAACGCTGTACTGGGTGGGGGAGACGCATGCGGACTGCGCCACGGGCCTTCGGCGGAGCCCCTATGGGGCCACGAAACGGGAGACGCATGCGGACTGCGCCACGGGACCTTCGGGGAGCCCCTATGGGGCACTGTACTGGGTGCGGACTGCGCTACGGGGACCTTCGGTGGGGCTCCATATGGGGCCACGGAAACGCTGTACTGGGTGAGGGAGACGCATGCGGACTGCGCCACGGGGACCTTCGGCGGAGCCCCTATGGGGCCACGGAACGCTGTACTGGGTGGGGGTGACGCATGCGGACTGCGCCACGGGGACCTTCGGTGGGGCTCCATATGGGGCCACGAAACGCTGTACTGGGTGAGGGAGACGCATGCGGACTGCGCCACGGGGACCTTCGGCGGAGCCCCTATGGGGCCACGAAACGCTGTACTGGGTGGGGGAGACGCATGCGGACTGCGCCACGGGGACCTTCGGCGGAGCTCACTATGGGGCAACGAAACGTGTGGTGATGATGATGATGATGATGATGATGATGATGATGATGATGATGATGATGATGATGATGATGATGATGATGATGATGATGATGATGATGATGATGATGATGATGATGATGATGATGATGATGATGATGATGATGATGATGATGAGAGGAGGGGGGAGGAGGGAGGAGGAGGAGGAGACGCGGGGACCGTCTCTTCAAAACGAAGACCCAACAACACAGGTTGGTTGGGCATGATCAAAAAATCGTCCCCATCCTATGTGACTATGTTTGAGGACTCCTCCTGTGGACGGACACGCCCGACTCAAGGCAACATGGAAGCAGAGCTTGGCCAGCGGCTGGCACCCTCACGGTAGGTGCGGGCGTGGGCGCCGGTGTCGGAGCCGGGGTGGGCGCCGGTGTTGGCACGTAGGCGCACGCGCCACACTCGCTGCACACCGCTGCTGCCAGGAATCCTTTGTCGGAGTCCCGGAACGGTGCGGTGACCTCGAAATGCCCCAAGACCTCACCGCACGGTCCGTCACCGCACGGTCTTGGGACCCTGGAGGCCCCAGTCGCCCCAGACATCCTCGGAGAACGACCCGAGTCCCAAAACCGTGCGGCGACCCCGAATCCCCACCGACGCCCCACACGGTGTGGTCACCACCCCGTTTTGGGGCCCCCGATCCTTGGTCCGCATCTTCCCCACAAGAGTCATAATTCGCGGCACCGGGCGCGTACGTGGGGCAGCCGCCAGAGCCCGCGTCGAACGTGCTCGGATTTCCTACACAATCGGGGTACGGCGTGGGCGCCGGCGTGGGGGCATTAGTCGGGGCAGGTGTAGGGGCGGGCGTAGGCGCTGCTGTAGGCGATGCCGTGGGCGATGCCGTCGGAGCAGCCGTTGGTGCAGCTGTCGGTGAAGCTGTGGGCGAGGCCGTAGGCGCAGCAGTGGGGGCAGGCGTCGGTGAGGCCGTCGGTGACGGCGTAGGCGAAGCCGTCGGCGCTGCTGTAGGCGATGCCGTGGGCGATGCCGTCGGAGCAGCCGTTGGTGCAGCTGTTGGTGAAGCTGTGGGAGCAGGTGTCGGTGAGGCCGTCGGTGACGGCGTAGGCGAAGCCGTCGGCGCTGCTGTAGGCGATGCCGTGGGCGATGCCGTCGGAGCAGCCGTTGGTGCAGCTGTTGGTGAAGCTGTGGGCGCAGGTGTCGGTGAGGCCGTCGGTGACGGCGTGGGTGCTGCTGTGGGCGCTGCCGTCGGAGCAGCCGTTGGTGCAGCTGTCGGTGAAGCTGTGGGCGAGGCCGTAGGCGCAGCTGTGGGAGCAGGTGTTGGCGAAGCCGTCGGCGCTGCTGTTGGCGCTGCCGTAGGGGCTGCAGTCGGTGCGGCCGTTGGTGACGACGTAGGAAATGCCGTGGGCGCCGGAGTGGGCGCTGCTGTAGGTGCTGGTGTTGGCACATATGCACATCTGCCACATTCGCTGCACACCTGTTCGGCAAAAAGCCCATCATCATCTGCATCGGTGGAGCAATAGTCATGGTTCCGTTCTCCGACAGCATACGTGGGACAGCCGCCATGCCCAATATTGAAAGTGCTCGGGTTTCCCACACAATCGGCCGTAGGCGCAGGAGTGGGCGCTGCTGTGGGCGCTGCCGTCGGAGCTGCTGTTGGTGCAGATGTCGGTGACGTTGTAGGCGAAGGCGTCGGTGCTGCCGTCGGAGCGTTCGTGGGTGCTGCTGTAGGAGCAGCAGTCGGTGCGGCAGTTGGTGCAGCTGTGGGCGCAGCCGTAGGGGCAGCTGTAGGAGACGCTGTCGGCGAAGCCGTGGGCGCTGCTGTTGGCGCTGCCGTGGGGGCTGCAGTCGGTGCGGCCGTCGGTGAGGTCGTAGGCGAAGCCGTCGGTGCTGCCGTGGGTGCTGCCGTGGGCGCTGCCGTCGGAGCAGCCGTTGGCGCGGCCGTCGGTGAAGCTGTGGGCGCGGCCGTAGGGGCAGCCGTAGGAGCAGCTGTCGGTGAGGCCGTGGGGGCTGCTGTTGGCGCAGCTGTAGGAGCTGCAGTTGGCGCGGCCGTAGGTGACGCCGTAGGCGCAGCCGTCGGTGCTGCCGTGGGTGCTGCGGTGGGCGCTGCAGTCGGAGCAGCCGTTGGTGCCGCTGTCGGTGAAGCTGTCGGCGAGGCCGTAGGGGCAGCTGTAGGAGCAGGTGTCGGTGAGGCCGTGGGGGCTGCTGTTGGCGCTGCTGTAGGAGCTGCAGTCGGTGCGGCCGTAGGTGACGCCGTAGGAAATGCCGTGGGTGCAGCTGTAGGCGACGGTGTAGGTGAGGCCGTCGGTGATGCTGTCGGTGCTGGCGTGGGAGCCGCAGTCGGAGTTGCCGTCGGTGCGGGTGTGGGCGCTGGTGTTGGTACATAGGCGCACGTGCCGCATTCGCTGCACACCGCTTCGGCCAAAAATCCTTGATCAGCATCTTCGGAGCAAAAAGGATTGTTCCGCCCGCTGGGACCATACGTGGTACAGCCGCCATGCCCGGCATTGAATGTGCTCGGGTTTCCTACACAATCGGGCATCGGCGTTGGCGCCGACGTGGGTGCGTTCGTCGGGGCAGGTGTGGGAGCGGCCGTAGGCGCCGGTGTCGGTGAGGGCGTGGGTGCTGCTGTTGGTGCTGCCGTCGGAGCTGCCGTTGGTGCGGCCGTCGGTGCTGCCGTGGGTGCTGCTGTGGGTGCTGCTGTGGGTGCTGCCGTCGGAGCAGCCGTTGGTGCAGGTGTCGGTGAAGCTGTGGGAGCAGGTGTCGGTGAGGCCGTCGGTGACGGCGTAGGCGAAGCCGTCGGCGCTGCTGTAGGCGATGCCGTGGGCGATGCCGTCGGGGCAGGTGTCGGTGCAGCTGTGGGAACAGGTGTCGGTGAAGCTGTGGGAGCAGGTGTCGGTGAAGCTGTGGGAGCAGGTGTCGGTGAGGCCGTCGGTGACGGCGTAGGCGAAGCCGTCGGCGCTGCTGTAGGCGATGCCGTGGGCGATGCCGTCGGGGCAGGTGTCGGTGCAGCTGTGGGAGCAGGTGTCGGTGAAGCTGTGGGAGCAGGTGTCGGTGAGGCCGTCGGTGACGGCGTAGGCGAAGCCGTCGGCGCTGCTGTAGGCGATGCCGTGGGCGATGCCGTCGGAGCAGCCGTTGGCGCAGCTGTCGGTGAAGCTGTGGGAGCAGGTGTCGGTGAGGCCGTCGGTGACGGCGTAGGCGAAGCCGTCGGCGCTGCTGTAGGCGATGCCGTGGGCGCTGCCGTCGGAGCAGCCGTTGGTGCAGCTGTCGGTGAAGCTGTGGGCGAGGCCGTAGGCGCAGCAGTGGGGGCAGGTGTGGGAGCGGCCGTAGGCGCCGGTGTCGGTGAGGCCGTGGGAGCTGCTGTTGGTGCTTCCGTCGGAGCTGCAGTCGGTGAGGCCGTCGGTGACGCCGTAGGCGCGGCCGTCGGTGCTGCCGTGGGTGCTGCTGTGGGTGCTGCCGTCGGGGCAGCCGTTGGTGCAGCTGTCGGTGAAGCTGTGGGAGCAGGTGTCGGTGACGGCGTCGGTGACGGCGTAGGCGAAGCCGTCGGCGCTGCTGTAGGCGATGCCGTGGGCGATGCCGTCGGGGCAGCCGTCGGTGCAGCTGTGGGAGCAGGTGTCGGTGAGGCCGTCGGTGACGGCGTAGGCGAAGCCGTCGGCGCTGCTGTAGGCGATGCCGTGGGCGATGCCGTCGGAGCAGCCGTTGGTGCAGCTGTTGGTGAAGCTGTGGGCGAGGCCGTAGGCGCAGCAGTGGGGGCGGGTGTGGGAGCGGCCGTAGGCGCCGCTGTCGGTGAGGCCGTGGGGGCTGCTGTTGGTGCTGCCGTCGGAGCTGCAGTCGGTGAGGCCGTCGGTGACGGCGTAGGCGCAGCCGTCGGCGCTGCTGTAGGCGATGCCGTGGGCGCTGCCGTCGGAGCAGCCGTTGGCGCAGCTGTCGGTGAAGCTGTGGGAGCAGGTGTCGGTGAGGCCGTCGGTGACGGCGTAGGCGCAGCCGTCGGCGCTGCTGTAGGCGATGCCGTGGGCGCTGCCGTCGGAGCAGCCGTTGGCGCAGCTGTCGGTGAAGCTGTGGGAGCAGGTGTCGGTGAGGCCGTCGGTGACGGCGTAGGCGCAGCCGTCGGCGCTGCTGTAGGCGATGCCGTGGGCGCTGCCGTCGGAGCAGCCGTTGGCGCAGCTGTCGGTGAAGCTGTGGGAGCAGGTGTCGGTGAGGCCGTCGGTGACGGCGTAGGCGCAGCCGTCGGCGCTGCTGTAGGCGATGCCGTGGGCGCTGCCGTCGGAGCAGCCGTTGGCGCAGCTGTCGGTGAAGCTGTGGGCGAGGCCGTAGGCGCAGCAGTGGGGGCAGGTGTGGGAGCGGCCGTTGGCGCCGCTGTCGGTGAGGCCGTGGGGGCTGCTGTTGGTGCTGCAGTCGGTGCGGCCGTAGGTGACGCCGTAGGCGAAGCCGTCGGTGACACCGTGGGTGCTGCTGTGGGTGCTGCCGTCGGAGCAGCCGTTGGTGCAGCTGTCGGTGAAGCTGTGGGCGCGGCCGTCGGATCAGCCGTAGGTGCAGCGGTCGGTGCAGCAGTGGGCGAGGCCGTAGGTGAGGCCGTCGGGGCTGCTGTCGGTGCTGGCGTAGGTGCTGAGGTCGGAAATGCTGTCGGTGCCGGTGTGGGCGCTGGTGTTGGCACATAGGCGCACGTGCCGCATTCGCTGCACACCTCTTCTGCCAAGAGCCCCCCCTCCGAATCTTCCGCACACGAATCATAATTCGCGGCACCGGGCGCGTACGTGGTACAGCCGCCAGAGCCAGCATCGAATGTGCTCGGGTTCCCCACACAATCGGGCATCGGTGTTGGCGCCGACGTGGGTGCATTCGTCGGGGCAGGTGTGGGGGCGGCAGTAGGCGCAGGTGTCGGTGAGGTCGTGGGGGCTGCTGTTGGCGCTGCCGTCGGAGCTGCCGTTGGTGCGGCCGTCGGTGACGCCGTAGGCGAAGCCGTCGGTGCTGCCGTGGGTGCTGCTGTGGGCGCTGCCGTTGGATCAGCCGTTGGTGCAGCTGTCGGTGAAGCTGTGGGCGAGGCCGTGGGTGCTGCTGTGGGAGCAGGTGTCGGTGAGGCAGTGGGGGCTGCTGTGGGCGCTGCTGTTGGCGATGCTGTGGGCGCGGCCGTCGGGTCAGCCGTTGGTGCAGCTGTGGGTGCAGGTGTCGGCGAGGCCGTAGGTGCAGCTGTTGGTGCAGATGTGGGCGAGGCCGTAGGTGCAGCAGTGGGGGCAGCTGTCGGTGAGGCCGTGGGGGCTGCTGTTGGTGCTGCCGTAGGAGCTGCAGTCGGTGCTGCCGTCGGTGCATCCGTAGGCGAAGCAGTCGGTGCTGCCGTAGGCGATGCCGTGGGGGTTGCCGTCGGAGCAGCCGTTGGTGCAGCTGTCGGTGAAGCTGTGGGAGCAGTTGTCGGTGAGGCCGTCGGTGACGGCGTAGGCGAAGCCGTCGGCGCTGCCGTAGGCGATGCCGTGGGCGCTGCCGTCGGAGCAGCCGTTGGTGCAGCTGTCGGTGAAGCTGTGGGCGAGGCCGTAGGGGCTGCCGTTGGTGCACTTGTCGGTGGAGCCGGCCTCAGATAGCGATCGATCAATTCTCATCACGGGCGACGCTCCTCTGACATCGCGTTCCAACTCCACCCATTCTGTATCCATGCGCGCCCACTAAACAGCGCTTGCACTTAGGGGTTATTACTTTATTGCTGGGATCCGACGGCCCCCTTTCGGGGCGAGGCGTCCTACAACCTGTACCCGCGTGCCATGTACAGTTTTATGCTAGCCGGCGTGGACCCCAGAAAGTGGGCGTGTAGCAATATGCGTGATACAATATACGTGATGAAATTTATGTGGTACCATCGATGTGGCGCAACGTACGTGGTGCGATATGCGTGGTGTAATGTATGTTGTGCAATATATGCTGTGCCTCCGCGATGTGCAATGTGTGTTGCGCAAGATACCTGGTGCATTATACGTGGCGTCATACATGTGGTGCAATCAGTGTTTTGCAGCACAAGAGATGCAATCTAGGTGGCGCAATCTACGTGGTGCAATTAATTTCTGTTCGCAGTGAGTTGTCCACTCCACTGCTCGCGCAAACATCCCACCCACCCACCCGCAACTTGGTTTGCAAAATCTCTGAAGACCGTGACGGTGGGTACCACATGGCCCTTGGCAACAACAGCGACGCCGACGACGACAGCGACAACGACGATGACGACGCCGCCGACAACGACTACGACGACACCGACGACGTCTCCAACGACTTCGACGACGCCGACAACGACGACGACGACGACGACGACACCAACGACGACGACGACACCGACGCCGACGACGACGACGACGATGACAACGACGACGACGATGACGACGCCGACGACGACGATAACGACGACACCGACGCCACCGACGACGTCAACGACGCCGACGACGACGACGACGACGACGGCGGCGACGACGACGACGCCGACGTCGACGACGACGAAGACGACAAACGACCGACGACGACGACGAAGACGAAGACGACGACGACGTCGCCAACGAAGACAACGAGGAAGGAGGGAGGACGACGACGGCGACAACGAGGACAAGGACGAGGGAGGAGGGAGGACGGCGACGACGCGAACGACGAAGAAGGAGGAAGGACGGCGACGCCGACGACGGCAACGACGAGGAAGGAGGGAAGACGACGACGACGACAACGACGACGACGACGACGACGACGACGACGGCGACGAAATAGGAGGGACGACGACGAGACGCCGACGACGGACGACGACGACGACGATGGAGGAGAAAGACGACCACCACGGCGACAACGACGACGGAAACGACCACGACGCCGAAGTTGACGACGACGACGAACACGAGGAAAGACAGAGGACGACGTAGGCGACGACGACGACAACGACGCGGGAGGAGGGAGGACGGCGACGACGACGACGACACAAGACCGTGCGCGCACGCTTTTGTTGAAAATCCGTGTTGCGAAACCTTGTGTTGTTGTATGTTATTTGGACACACGATTTTGAAATTCTTCCGAAACCGATGGGTTTTGAGGGTTTTCGACACACGCGCGCGACGACGCGCGCGTCGGCACTTC